GCTCTACAACACCCGTACCTCCCCGCCACCCCACTACTTCCAGAAACTTGAGAAGTTACTGTATTGGTCAAAACCCTGAGCTGCTGGCACCAAAACCCAAGCGGAAGCAGCTGTAGTCGAGAGGGCTCTGGGGAGGAAACGCTCGTTTATTGGAAACCCCTTGCAATGATTCCACTCAGTTCAGGACTACCATGAAAATATAAACAATACAACATGTAGATGATGGGCTGTGAAAATGATAACAGAGGAACTTATTTGAATTAATATAAACGGGATGCTCAGTGACAATGTTCCTACTCTCAGGTGAAGCAGATTCTAATCTCTGATCTAGCCCCGCCTCTGTCTCTCTTACCTGTATTGTGCCTACACCCATGTCTCTCTCTATACATGTGTATCCCAGGAACTTGGTACCTGCTGTTCCCTCTGCCTGGAATTTCTTTCCCCCAAACACCTGCGTGAGGACCCGAGACACGGCAGCATCCCTGACACGTGCTCTGCGCTCTCTGACCAGCTTCCTGTGACTCCTTCCTGCATCAGTGGTACACTCCATGCACACGGGGAGGGAAGGGACATGCAGAGTTCTTCCCAGAACATCATTTTATGTCACAATTACTGTGAGCTGCAGTTGTCATCAGTGAAAAAGAGAGAATGGGCCAGGTCAGTGGTTTTCTCTGCTCCCCAGAACCGCCAGGGCTCCACAGAGCAACTTGGGGGTGACCTCAGGCAAGGAGAGGGCAATCGAGTGAGGAGGGCTTCAGCCTCTCCCCCCACCCCCAACCAGGGCAGCTCTGATGTTGCTCAGGAGATGTGGTTTGAGCAGAGGGTTCTGTTGTGCATCTGAAGGTCCAGAAATACACCCTAAAACATACAGGAATTTAGTGTGGGATAAAGGGGACATTTCAGAGCAATAAAGGGAAGATGGATTATTTACTAAATGCCGTTTGGACCACTGGGGAACCATCTGGGAAAAAATGTTAAGATGGAACCTTAGTGCACATCTTACACAAAAATAAATTCCAGATGGATCAAATATTTAAGCATGAAAAATGAAACCCATAAAAATAGAAGGAAAAAAATGAATTTTCAAATAATTACAAAGATGTAGGGAAGGCCTTTCCAAATATCACACAAGACCAGTAGCTATAAAAGAAAAGACTGAGGAATTTGACTAATAAAAATGTTGAATTTGGTTAAAACAAGTCTTTCATGTTTCGCTTACAGTCACTCTGCTCTCCCCAAGACCCAGCTGTGCATGCAGACGGGTCTGGAATGGCAGGCAAAATTGGTGACAAACCATTTCATTCTCATAATCACCTCTCCTTCCGTGATGAGGACATACAAGACCAAAGACGACTCAAGGGCTGGGGAAAGAACCCTCTTCATAAACCTAGAGCCACACTCTCTCATCTGTCACCTCTCTACATTATCTGTTACTACTATGAGGAGGACAAAGCCTAAATAATAGCGCTCGGGAGAGGTCTGAAGCACTGTACAGGAAAAATATTAGCTACTTCTCACTGACGATACATCCACTCTTTTGCCTTTATAATCTGTAATCTTCATAACATCTCTGTTCCAAGTAAACGGTTTTCAACATGAATGACAGAAAACCTGACCAAACTGGCTAATACCAAAAATTGGGATGTTGGCTGATGTAATAAAATGCTGTAGAGAGATGAATTTAGTTTCAGGGATGGCCTGATCCAGGGGTCACATGATATGAAAAGGACCTGGTTTCTTTCTCAGCTCCGCTTGCTCAGTGTTGACTCTCTTCTCCAACACGCTCTCCCCTCATGGTTCTAAGAGGGCTGCCAGCAGCAACTCCTGGGCTTTTTCCCTCCAGCTGCCAATCCAGTGGAAATGAGCAAGCCAGCTGCCCCAAGAATACAAAACAAAAACCTTCTTTTTTTCCTTGCCCCACCATGGCCGGGAGGAGGGAGAATGCTGAGTGCCTTAGCTCGGGTCCTGTGCTCCAGGGACATCAACCGCACCAGACATAGAGGGACAGAGGTGGCAGAAGGATGGCTCCCGAAGCAAAACCAAGATGTTGTTGCCAAAGGAAGATAGTTAATTATAGGCAGCAAAAATAGACGTCCACAACAAATCTTATGAGGTTGAAATTATTCTTCTCATTGTACAGATATGGAAATCAAAGGTCCCAAATGTTAAGTAACTTGCACAAAATCATACAACTGGAAAGTGGCACAGATGGGATTTGACCCCATTAACGTGTGTGATAAGACTAAAAGGATGAGTGGGTGTTGCGCAGGCTGACTGCAGCAAGGAGCGTGCTCTAGGCAGAGGGTTATGAATGCACAGCGGGAGGCGGCTGGGAGAAGAAGCTTTCAGGGAATTGCACGTTGCATGCAAAGTTGTCAGACAGTGTAGCAAAGCAAAGAGCTCAGCTTTGGGGCCAGAGGGATCAGGACTCTGCTAGGTGACCCCGGTCAAGGACACAACCCTCAGCTCACTTTCATCAGCTGTAATACAGGGATAATATGCTTCACTGGGTCCTTGGGAGGAATAAGTGAGATACTGTATATAAAGGAGCTAGTACGGTGCCCAGCCCACAGCAACTCAACAAATGGTTGTTACTGTGCTAACGATGACAGAATGCAGAAAGCAGTGAACGAGAAAGGTGGGGGAAAAACAAGCTCAAAAACTAACCATGGGCCAGATCAGGCTAAGATGAGGACTTCAGATTTTATCCTCCTGCAAATGGGGAATGATGGAGGGTTCTGACGGGAGGGATGGCCTGATCAGCATTTCGTTTTAGAAGGATCACTGGCAGCAACGTGTAGTTAGAGCAGCAGAGAGAGGTGGGGTGAGGCGGGTGGGGGGTGGGAAACTAGTTAACAGATCATGAAAATAGTTAGATTGACCAGTGGTTGCCAAATCTAGTTCAGTGTCAAAATTACTAGGGTAGTGTTTTTGTTTTGTTGCTTTCTCTGTTTTCATACAGATCCCTGGACTCTCCAGAAGTGGGGAGACAGCGGGTTGAGGGGTTGAGGTATCAGCTCGTTCCAGCCAGAGAGCTGTTGGCCCCTCAGGGGAACTGATGTGCTGCCCTCCAAGGACCAGCATTGCCTGAGGAAAAACTAGAATTGCTACAGCAGGAATGTACTGATTAAGAAAGAGTCAACTCTCTGGCTTTTTAACTTCAAAAAAAGACTCTTGAGGCCCCTAGGGCACAGGGTGGAGCAATCAGATGAGTGCTGCCTGTGCTGGAAGGAAGGAAGAAAATGGGACGGAGCAAGACTTTGCAGGTCCATGGGTCTGACCAGAGCTGAGCTCCAGTAAGGAAGCAGACTTTGCTTCAGGAGACAGCCAGCAGGGAGTCCCATGGGAACTGATTCACCCAGCAGGGCACCCATCCCCATTCAGCCCCCATTCAACAGAGCACAGGCTGCCTTAGTGGGAGAGCCACTGCACTGTCTACTCTGAGCCACCGTCCAGGAAGCACCTCCATCCCCAGCTGTATCGCGGTGGCTCAATGACACCAGAGTTTGCCGGCTTTAATCTGAACTGCCTCGTGAATAATCGTTAACTGCCATTTCAATGGCCCAAACACTTACAGGCTGTTACATTTCCATCCTGTGGATGAGCCATAATTCACCCAACCATCCCCCAGTCTCAGATGTTTACCTTGTTTCCAAATTTCCACTGGTAAATCTAATTCTGCCATGAAAATTTGCACATAAAACTTTCCCTGCTATCACTTCCAACTCTAAACCATCTAATGTTCTTGGATGAGACCTGGTAATAGTTATTTTCTCTAGTTCAGGATATCAAGTCTCAAGCACTACTTCCTTCTCAAAGGATGCAATTAGAGATCATTTGATTAAGTTCAAGACTTGATGGTTTTTTTTAAAAAACTCTTAGCAAGCAAAGAATAAAAGGTAACTTCCTTAACCTGACAAAAGATACCTACCAGTAATCTCAGCAAATGTCTTACTTAATGGTTCCCTTAAAAGTCAGGAACAGAGATGAATGCCCATTATCACTGCTTCTATCAACACTGGAGGTCCTGGAAAAAAAGACAAGAAAGAAAGTGCTGCCTCTTCCAGGGGTGCAGAGAAGCAGGCGTTCTCGTGCACTGCTTGTCTGATAAGTTCAACCTTTAAGGATGGCGATTGGCAATACATATGACTTAAAAATGTACATACTCTCTGACCCAGCAAACTCACCTCAGTGAGCATACCCTGAGAAAATACTCATAGCTGTGCACAAAGACATGAGCACGAGGATGCTCTCTTAATTATCACCTACAATCAGAAACCCCTGTCTGACGACAGGGTCCTGGTTACGTGAATTCTGGCATGAACACATGATGGAATATGAGTCACTGAAAGGGATGCTGTGAAAGGGCATTTACTGGAAAGACAGCATAAACTAGTTTGCTCAATTACCTTTTTATAGATAACAATGTGTGTATACACGCATGCAGACGCACCAGAACATTCTGGAAAGATCCATATTGGAATACCGATGATTCCTTCTGTCGTTTTCCAAATTTTCTTAAAACGTGTTACTTTTCTAATTAGGAAAAATAATATATTTTTAATGCGGCCTCAAATGATTGCCTTAGGCAGCAGAGAAAGTACCTCCGAAAGAGCAAAGGGAAACTTTATGAGGGAGCATTCTGATCGCAGCTCCCCAGCCAGCCAGAACCCGTGAGACCAGGAAGCTAACCTGCATTCTCACGGTTCTACTTTGTTAAAACAAAAGAAAATGACAGCTCTAAAGGTTAATTTTATTCACACACCCATTTTTAAGTCAACTCTCTGCCTACTCATATTCGGGATCCCACTATCATGCCAAGTTCTCAGCAGGTCACCGGCTACCTTGCAACCCAGTGATCAGACTGGGGGAGATGGAGCTTACGGGGCTGTTTCCCCGGTGCACGTGACCAAGGTGGGGGGAAGTTGAAAAGAGAAAGGGAAGAGGAATGTCACAGCAGCGTTGTGTGCACGCGCTCAGATAGAAAACAGCACAACAGCTACGACAACGGGAATCTTTATGTGTCTTTGCAATCAGTACAGATCTTCAGAACAAGAAGAGACAAAAAAAGGAATACAATGTTCCAAACAGTTACAGCCCATAGGTTGACATTACGAACTAGGTTTAGATCCTCTGGAGAGTTTTCTAAGAGGACTGAGGTGCAGAGGCATCTGAAGGAGTCTACCCCCAGCTTAACTACTGACAGGGTGCAGACATAGCTAAAAATAAAGAACCTGCGACTTGGTGAGGACTTCTGGTGCCTGCACACATTGTCCCGCAGGCAGAGAAGATCACAAGTCCATACAGGTCCTTGCATGTGCTGTGTGCTGGAAGGTACTGCAGGTCTCTTTATTTCCTAAAGCAGGCAAGGCTCACAAATTGACCCATGCACACTGTGAGTACATAGTACGATGCAAGCATGTTATTGGTACAGAGAGCGCTTTAATTGGAATCTGTCGGTTTTTAACATCCTCACAAGGTCATTTGTACCTCAAAGGACTGTTATCCTTTAAGTTATTCATTCGAGAAATACTTATCCCAAACCATGCGCCATCTCATCCATCGCCTTCTCAGGAAGACCAACGCTGGGAAACGGATACGGCATGTGCTGCTAACACTAAGATAGCTGGTAGACAACAGTGGCGCCATCCTAAGGACTGTAGTGACTGCCCCTTACCCCCATTACCCACCTCCCTGAACCCTGACCTTCCGGGAGCTGGGAGCTGACTCGAGAGAGGAAAGAACAATTCTCTATTCAAGTCAGATATCCTTCAAGGGGAACGTGACTATTCTGACTCATTTGGGACGGGGGAGGAGAAAAGAATATAAAGTAGAATCATTCTTATCTGTAAAGTTTAGCAGATGGAAGAAAATCATGTCATTTGCTTAACTTTGGAAAATGCAGTGGGTCTCGTTCCCAGGGGGGCATGCAAAGCCTCCCCCACTCTCCACCTACTCCCTTCCCAAGACACGGGCTGTGGGCGTGGCAGCTTTGCAAGACTGCATGCTCACTTCAGAGGACAAAGAATTCAAGACCAAAGCTGCAATAACTTATTAGTCATATTTCCCATCTTTAGTTCCTTTGGGGGTAAAAATACCATGAAAGAGATAAGATGGCTTTTCTGACTGTATATGTCATTCTGGTGTTTTCCGTTCAAAAAAGCCCACACAACCACATTCTCTGTTTTATTATAAAAATTAGTACCTCTCATAGTAAAAGCCCTCTCTAAAACTATAGCTTTGGTTTCAGAATTAGCAATTCAATTAGCTCAAATTAATATTGACTGCATCAACAATATGCTGGCAAGCACGGCAAGGTCTTCCAGAGACGAGGGTAAAGAAGCTGTGTCTATTCTTCTAACCACGGTGGGAGAAGGGGACTGAGGAGTGAGCCTTTTGCTCAGCCAAATGACAGCTGCATGAAGCATTTTAAAAATGAACCACCTTTTCAGGGAAGAAGGTCAGAGCTGGTCTTGTGAAATGCCATCACAGGACTCTGTACCATCCGGAGAAAGGTCCTTTGAGTCGGGAGGGAGTATAGCGAATGGCTTTCCAGTCTTGGTTTCTAGAACCTATGGAGCTAATGCATCTGTGTACAAGGAGCGTTAGACCCGGCTATTGTGCTGCAGGAAACGTGGCTAAATCACATGGAGTCCTGGGAGTTTTTACCTTGAGTATCTGAAGTGCTACTTCACCTGGCGTGGCTCAGAGCTCCCATCTGCATAGTGGAGATAACAGCACATCTCTGACCCACTGGGACCGGGAGGAGTGGGTGAGAGAGAGCTAGAAAGCACTAACGCCCTCTCCGGAGAAAGGCAGTGTTCAAGTAACAAAGTACTTAACGAAGTACTCTAATCAAAAAAAGCACAAATTCAAGTAACAAAGTTGCAGGTCTCGCGATCTAGCTTTGAGCAGAGCATCTGCGGTGGGGAGCTGGTAGGTCAATGAGCTGCATGGCGGAGGATGCAGGAAAGCTCCATGTAGAGCCCATTGTGTCATCCCACCACCGAGGACCAAACTCTCCTTATGAGGAGACAATGATCCTTAGGGAAAGCTCAGTGGAATTAGCAAGCTGGTCAGAGCGATCGCTCAATGCATTTCCCATCTGTGGACTCTGCATGAGATCTTCAGGTCAGTGATCAACCTCAATTTCAAGAGATTAACGGTTTTCTTCATTTCACAGGTAGAAATAGAAAGGGAAAGAAAGGCTATCTAGATTTTTCTTCTGCACTTTAGCATAAGACTAAAAAATAATTTTGAGATTGGCTAAAGGAAACTACTCAAGGAAAATTCACACACACAACATTCCCCCCAACAGGGCATCAAGAGGGAGGTTGGAAGTTTCTGCAACTAAGAATCTGACTTTCTTTTTACAAGCTAGTGTGTGCATGCTTGAGTACTAACAACACCCAGAGAACTGGAAGGTTTGGGGGTGTTGTCACAGGGACCCTGAAGGCCCCCCGAACAAGAATAAGGAAAAGGGGTTAACAGTCTAGACACATCCTCTTTTCTAAACAGCTCACAATGAAAACTTGGAAAAACTTCACACTTTAAAACCACAATATTTATTTTGCCACAAGAATCCACTGTATCAGTTATCAGTGGATGGGAAAAGGTCCCTATTCTTGCTCTGGTTATAAAACTTCCAATTCCCGTGTTTATACACAGCTGCTCATCTCTGAACCTGACTACTCATTTTCACTGGACAATGGAAACACTTTTGGAGCCATTCAGCCTCACACCACCATGAAAATGTGAATCTAGACACAGAGTTTCTGGGAGACATCATAGTTTCTGGGCGACATCACCGTTTCTTGGTGCCACTGTTCCCACCGCTGGAGTTGCTGAAGCTCCTGCTCATGTGAGGAAAGTGCACAGTCGGGGTTCTTTCTGTAGGACCATACAATCCCAAGTTCCTGGCGGTGGCTGACTTCCGCAGTGGCTTGACACTGGGAAAGGGGCTGAAGATGGGGGTTTTCGGGTGGCCGCCTTGAGGAGGTTTGCTGGTGGCTTTGTTTTCTGCAGGGGGCTCCGAGGGCTCCGGGCAGGGCCGTGGGCGGGGCGGGTGCACCCTGGGCTCAGTTTCAGCAGCAGCAGCCCCTTGGCCCAGTTCCAAGGCTTCTAACTTCACCTGAACTGCAGACATGTCGGCATCAGCATCCCCAAACACCGGCTCTGGAGAGTGCCCCTCGATTGTCCTCCCCGTGCTGTCCTCGGAGCTGCCGCCTTCTCTCCGGGCTGTCGCTGCACAACCGGAGGGAAACGCCTCTGCTGTCCCCTTGCAGCCCTCCTTCTGCTCTTCTATCAGCCCCACGGTGTCCCCGCAGCCCAGCTGACTCTTGGTCCTCGTCATGTTCTTTTTGTGGACTCGGATATGAGTTCGCCATGGAGAGTTGAGCTTCGTCTTGAGGTCCTCATAGGGGACAGGAGATATTTTGCCTCCCATGTGACCAGGCATATGGATGACAGCATTCTTCGCAGCCCTGTTGGACATTTTCATCTTCTTTCCTAAAAGAAGGTGGTTTATAACCGGAGAGTTGTTTACCTGAGACGGGAGAATGCTGGTCGCTGGCCCTTTGTCTGAAAGAAATGTTGAAAGGTCATGTGAAATGCACCACAGAGGAACACATCCGTCACGGAGCAGGAACCACATAAGGGTTGTCCCCTTAGCCCTGCCCACGTGGTTCCCAGGTACTGGAGGAGTCATGTGACTAAAGGCAGCAGAAACTGAATTCAACCCTAGAGCCTCCTCAAAGACGAGGAGACGAGGGGCCGAGGATGCAGGAAGGAACAGAGACTCTGACCCCTTTGTTACTAATTAGAGCCCAGACTCCCTAATGTTTTTTATGGAGAGCTTTAGTCTCTGAGAAGCAACCTCGGAGGTCTTGTATCTAGAAAATCTTTGAAGATTTTTTAAAACAATAAGTCAAACACTACGATCATGTGGATTATCAGCTCAGCTTCTAAGACGCAGGAAAAGAACACACGGCACGTTGTGACGTGAGAGACAGCAGAAGCAGAGAAGTGTAAGAAGGTGGTAAAGATGCAGAGAAATCACAGCTATCCAATGGCTGACTCCAGGTATGGAAAACCACTCTCCCATGTGCTCAGTGGACTTTGAAAGCAAATTGAAAACTGGAAGGCACCAAAAGCTTGATTCTCCTGGAGGGCACCGCTGATAGTGCTACTGTCCTCCTCCTGTGGCGACTACTGGCCTCTATTTCTGATGAAGCGTAAACACACAGGGCTCCAGGGAGGACAGCGGCAGGGAGAAGCAGTAGGGAGAAGGTCCTGATATCTTTCTTGAACATCCTTCCTCCCTGACATCCATGTCATCTGGCTGAACTTCCTTCTATGCTTCTCTCTTGCTGCCATCTACATCTGGTCACACTCCAACCTTTATTGAAAATTTTGACGACTATCTCCTCTTCGCCCCATGTCCTACCACCTCCCTTCATTACTTTACTGTCTCTGTGACTGACGCATCCTCATAGTTCCTCCACCTCCCCAGTTCCATCCTAAACCTAACACCTAGATCTACCTTATATGAAAAACACTAAGTTTCACATTCTTCTCTTTGACTCTTCTAGCGCTCGGCTCCCACTCTAACTATAGCTGGTACTGAGCCACAGAGGGATCTTTGATCCTCAGTCTTCTAATAACCACTCGTCTCTCTTTGGCTCACTTACATCCTTAGATGCATGGCTGATCACCTGGACCACTGCCTCACCATTCCAGGCATCCCTATCCCTTTATCGCATATACCTGGAAAACCCCACCCTTGGATCCACAGTCCACATTCTCCTTCCCATAACAGGAGCTGCTAAGGACTGCTAGGGGGAAGAAAAAAACATTACACAGCCATGTGGATTGAGAGCCCTTCAAATTCATAACTTCCTATTTTGTTGGGTCCTCAATGCCGCTGAACAATCTTCTTTTTCCCTCTCCCATTCCTTTCAACCACCCATCCAAATCTTCATTACTTTCTTTAAGCTCCCACCCAACCCCCAACTGAGGCCCAAGCAAACAACCCTTCCTCCAATTTCTCAATGAAAACCAAAGCTATCAGGTCTGAAAGGCCTCAACTTCCTGCCCTCCCTAACTTAGGAAGCTGGTGCCTCAACCACCACCCTTACCACCTTCCTTTACGTCTCAGAAACTGAGGTCCTTTGCCTTAAGCTCTAGTTCGACCTCTCCACTTGTGCTGCTGATTCTGCCCTACACCATCTCCTCAGAAACCTTGCTACTCAAAGGCAACCCCCACCGGGCAGCGCTGGCATCACCTAGGAGCTTGTTGGAAACGCATAATCTCAGCTGCAACCCAAACCTACTGAAACAGATTCTTCATTTGAACAGATCCCCAATGATACATATGCACATGAAAGCTGAGAAGCAATGCTCTAGAACTTTGCCTTTGAGCAACAATCTCTCCCTAAAAAGAACGACATAAACCACGATCTAGAGTAAAGCTCGGCAAACTTCCTGAAGAGGACCAGACAGTAAATATTTCAAGTATTGTAGTACAAAAGCAGTCATAGTAATACATAAACAAATGGGCAGGCCTGGGGTCCAATAAAACTTGTATTTACAAGAACAGGAAATGAGCAGCATTTGGCCTGTAGAACACAGTTTGCTGACCCCTGACCAGAGTGCAAGGCACGGGGCTAACTTAGCACCCAAAGGCAGTTGTTCATCATTCCACTCAAAAGTTTGTACCATGCAGTTGAAAAAGGATGATACAAAGAATCAGAACACAGGAGTTCTAGCCCTGGCCTGACCTCTCACTATAGCTACATGAGCCTTCCTGAATCACCATTTCCTCATCTTTTAAAACGATAAAGGATAGCTGTCCTTGCCTTCCTCAGACATTTGTTTTAAGGACAAAATGAGGACATGCACGTGCCAGTGTTTTGAAAATTAAAACGCTGCAGTTGTTAGTTTCTTTTGTGATTGCTTTCTTAATGAGTTAGAATGAGGTAAGAATCTTCAAGAAGTTGCCTACTCCTCCCAGATGAGTGAAAGGTAAATTCAGTTTTTGGGCAAGATCAGTCACATGCTCACCAGCCTCTTAAAAACATGTCAAATTTATAGTTTGGTTAATCCCGCATAGGCATCGTTTTCATTAGGATTTCATTTAGAACAAGACAAACCAATTCCCAAATCAGCACATATTAAAACAATGAAGGAGATTGTTCACTGGGATTTTGGAAATTAAAAAAAAGAAAGAAAAAAGAAGCTTGACAATCCTTGGAAAAGAGCATTTCCAGTGCCCTACAATTGTGTTCTTCTCGGCAGACTCCCAAGACACTGCCAACCCATTAGGAAGGCAGAGGAATGGCTTTTTCCTTTTCCTCTAATCACAACATCTGCCATGCTTCTACTAAAGGACTGGCAAATAGCTTAATTTACTAGTGCCCAGATGACTAAAATCTATTTTCCAAAGCCTGAAATTGAGGAGGCAACAATTCCAAAATATCTCAAGTCCAAGGACTGCATGCTGTGCAACAGCCTCATCATTCGTCAAGCCCCCTGCATGAGCCCACACAGTAACGATGTCTTGAATACCATCAACTGCCTGGTCCTTGGGACCTAAAAACCCACGCTCTGTCGCTTCTTTAGAGCCTGATGAGATATAATCAAAAACAAGATGCTAAATAGCTATCATCCCACGCCAGCTGCGTGCGTGCGTGGATGCTGAGCCACGGCGAGTAGAATTCCAAGGCCGTCTAGGAACACTTGTGCTTCCTTCACAAGTTGACAGAGCTGACACCGATTCAAACAAGTCTCACATTACCTGCTCTGATATACACCTGGTGAACCTGCTGCTGCTGCTTCTTTTTAATGCGAGAATACTGCCGCTTGAGGGCGTTGATATCTGTGGTCATGCGCTCCATCATCATACTGTTAAAAGCAGCGTGATATTCACTTCGACAGGAATTGATTGCTCCCGGACTCAGCTCGGCAATGTTATTAGATCTCAGACTCTGCTCTTCATTTGGGTCTGCAGTCCAGAGAAGGGAGAGAAGGAGATGGTGTCCGTGAAGAAGACCAAATGGGGATGGATTCCACTATAACCTGGTGTAGTATCTTAACCTCTAGGAAATTCTAAACCACAAAAAAAATATACACTAGAATTTGTCTGGTGCTTGTTTGGTTTTTTTTTTTTTAAAGATTGGCACCTGAGCTAACATTTGTTGCCAATCTTCTTCTTTTTTTTTTTTGTCGTCTTCTCCTAAAAGCCCCCCAGTACATAGTTGTATATTCTAGTTGAAGGTCCTTCTAGTTCTGCTATGTGGGATGCGCCCCAGCATAGCCTGGTGAGCGATGCCATGTCCACACCCAGGATCTGAAGCTGTGAAACCCTGGGCCACCAAAGTGGAGCGCGTGGACCTAACCACTGGGCCATGGGGCCAGCCCCCTAGTGCCTGTTTTTATTTGGTCCTGAAAATAATTCTGCATTTTCTTATCAGCCTAACTGTAGGTCTAAAACAAGCTGCATGGGTTCATTGTTTGATTTTATTACCACTTTGTTCATTTTATAGACATCAGATCAACTGTTCGCAGATAAAAATCACTGCCATTTTCTAAAATTCCCTTAGAAAAGCGTAACTCCAGATGTCTTGAGTCAGTGTACAGATTTTGTATAACCGCATGAGAATGTATAAGGGACTGAGAGCTCGTGGAGTTTAGTCAGTCATTAAAAGTGAGTTTTTCTTAAGTTAAAAATAGCAACACACTCTATAAAATTATCAAGACTTCAGATCACTGTATCACTAGAAATTAATGTTTTTATTCATTTAACAAACATTTCCTAACTGTTTACCATGTGTGCTATGTCAGACGTGGTTTCTGATCCTGTGACACCTACAGCTAACAGATTTGTCCCTGAAATAAAATTGAGGCGACATCTAGGAAAGAGGCACAAGTACTGTGTGAGAATATGTGCAGAGACTGCACAGGGCAAAGAGGGATGAGACGAGCTCCTCTAGCACAATATGTAAAACTGGCCTGGGGACCAGACAAGAAAATATTGATGGAGGATTTCAACTATCCTAACATCTGCTGAAAGCATTATTCAGATAAAGGCTAAACATCTGGTGAGGTGACGTCAGCATCATGGCGGCGTGAACTTGCCTGGGACTCTCTCCCCTCCAACATACAACAAAAAGGAGCAACCAAATACCAACAGAAAATACCCTAAAAGCACAAAAATCCTCAGAGAGTCACGGCAGCCATACGATGGAGGATGGAGAGGCTGGAGCACCACTTGGAGGAGCTGGACCAGAGTAAGAGAGAACTTTTTGCTCCCTCCCCTAGAGACTGGGATCACTGCTGCGGGAGGCTCCATGAGGGAAGGAGTGAGGGAGGGCTCACATGTCCCCAGGATCATCCACGACTCCCATGGCCAAGCAGCCCAGACAGAAGCCCTCTAATGGGGCGAAAGCTTTCACGCAGGGGTGACCTTATCCAAGCCAAGACCCCAGGAGACCAGATAGCTAGAGCTGATAGGGAAACTTTGGACTGCATGCAGGAGAAAGCGCCTCCCCAGCCCCCACAACCCGCACCCAGCCACCCCATCTGGGCCGAGGGCTCAGAATACGCAGCTCTCGACCCCCATCCAGTGGCGATAGGCTGTAACTGCAACCAAATAATATCAGAATGAGAAAGACCCATCCTTCCAGCATCAGGCAATTCATCAAATCTCCAGACCACACAGAAGATGAGAAGCACCCAGAATTCAGTCCTGAGGACTCAGAAATATGTAAACTAAATGACAATGAATTCAAAATAGCTATCATCGAAACACTCAATGAGGTAAAAGAGAATACAGAGAAACAATTCAATGAGTTCACAAGCTACTTCACAAAAGAGATTGAAACTATAAAGAAGAATCAATCAAATATTAGAGAAGAAAGACACAATGGAAGAGATAAAACAAAATATGGATTCCCTGAATGCTCAAGTGGACATCATAGAGAAGTGAATCAGCATAATCGGAGACAGACATGTTGAAATGCTCCAGACAGAGGAGGAGAGAGAACTAAGACTAAAAAGAAAGAAAGAAAGTCTCCGAGAAATATCCAACTCAATGAGGAAATGCAACATAAGAATTATAGGTATCCACGAGGATGAAGAAAAGGAGAATGGAGCAGAAAGCATGTTCAAAGAAATAATAGCAGAGAATTTCCCAAATCTAGGGAATGAGAGGGAAATATGTGTGGAGGAAGTGTCCAGATCTCCTAGATAAGTCAATGTAAAAAGACCTACTGCAATGCATATAGTAGTAAAACTGGCAAAAATGAATGACAAAGAAAGAATACTCAGGGCAGCAAGGCAGAAGAAAATAACCTACAAAGGAACCCCTATCAGGCTTTCAGCAGACTTCTCTGCAGAAACCTTACAAGCTAGGAGAGAATGGAACGACATATTCAAATCTTTAAAAGATAAAAATCTTCAGCCAAGAATATTCTATCCAACAAAAATATCCTTCAGACATGAGGGAGAAATTAAATCTTTCCCAGACAAACAAAAGCTAAGGGACTTCATAACCATGAGACCCCCCCCCCCCCACCACAAGAAATCCTCAAGAAGGCCCTCATACCTGAAAAAAGAAAAAAAGGAGAAAGGGGTGATAAAACAGAGTAAGGAGACAAATAGACAGAATCAGAATAGGATAGCAAATATGCAACTATAGCATTAGGCTAAAGGGAAGGAAAACACCAAAAACAAAGACAATCTTGTCACTTTAACCACAAACTCACAACGCAAGTTGGAATAAGAGATGAGAATAATAACTTAGGAGGGGAGGAGGAAAGGGTCTGAATCAGTTTAGACTAAGGAAATACGAGGCTGTCAGAAAATGGACTATGTTATACACGAGATTCTGAATACAACTTCAACGTAGTCACTAAACGAAAAAGCAGAACAGAGACACAAAAAATAAATAAGGAAAAAAACAAAGAAACACATCATAAAAAACTGCAGAAGTCAATGGGTAGACCAAAACACACAGGACAAGAAACAAAGGAAATGCAGGAAAACCGGAAAATGAGTGATATAATTAATGACAGCATTAAGCCCTCGTACATCAATAACACCCTAAACATAAATAGATTGAATTATCCAATAAAAAGACAGAGTGGCAAGATGGATTAAAGAAGAAGATCCAACAATTTGTTGCCTCCAGGACACACATCTCAGCTCCAATGACAAATACAGGCTCAGAGTGAAGGGGTGGAAGACAATCCTCCAAGCTAATGGCAAACAAAAGAAAGCAGGTGTCGCAATACTTAGATCAGACAAAGTAGACTTCAAGATAAGGCAGGTAGAGAGAGACAAAGAGGGGCAATATATAATGATCAAAGGGAAACTCCATCAAGAAGAAATAACACTTATAAATATCTATGCACCCAACACAGGAGCACGAAAGTTCATAAAGCAACTATTAACAAACCTGAAAGAAAATATTAAAAATAAACATCTGATGAATTTATGTTTTTTTACTGAAAACATTTCTCTAAGGAGAAGAAAATTAAAAGGGGACCTGCTAGTCTGAACTTCATTAAACCAAAAAGAAAGACTAATGATGAATCTTCAGAGAAAGTGGTCATGTCATCCTGGAAGACATAATGGCACGGAAAGAAAAACAGAAAAATAAATGGAATGCAGACCAAATGCAGATTCAAGAATTTTAGAGTTAAAATACATATTGATTCCATGGCTAGAAACCAAAAGCTGAAATTCAGGCAACAAGAGAGAGAGTAGTGGGCATTATGAGATCAGCAGGACTATTGTTGGGTTCAGATGTTTAAAAGCCATTTAAAAAGATGAGAGGAGAGTACGCACCAAGGACATACACACAAACCATCCGGCAGGTTAAAACTCAAAACAAGCTCAGGCTGGGGAACAGACTCAAAACTCCCACTACCAAAAAAGGCAAAACAAGAAGACTTCTAAGCAAGCAGAACGAAAAGGAGAAGACAGCCCCGTGACTTTGAGAAGGTAGCATAAAGTTAGCAGATGGCGACAAGAAGCAGAGGTGCCTGACATTCTGTTTCAGTCCTTTTAGCAAGGAAAATGGTCTTCAAACTAGAAGAGGTACAATAATATCCTAAAGGAAGAACTGTCACTCAAGACGGGAAAGAACACAGCGGGCGAATCATGAACTGCTTCAAAAGAGGCTGTTGTCAATAACCTAGGGCACAGGAAGTCTATTCCGCACAAGAAAAAACAAATACAGCAAATACAGCATGGCATTCAATTCAGAGCACCACATCCTAGGAGGGACAGCACCAAACCGCAGGACATTGAGAGGTGAATTTATAGAATATTAAAAGTTCTGAAAGTCACATCTCACGAGAAATACTTAAAGAAATTCTGAACTTGGATCATGGAGAAAGCTTTGGGGGACATGATGGCCATCCTGAGAGATTCAAAGAGATGTCTGGTGGAAGAGAAGCAGACTTCTTGTGTTTTGTTCCAAAAAGAACTATTAATACAACTGGTAGGCGGAGGCAATCTCTTTGCAACTAGAAACCATGGGCTAAGCAGAGGAATCTAACGGAATGTCTTGTGAGATAATGAGTTCCTTGTCACTCAAATTCAAGTAGAAGCTACCATGTTTTAGATTTAGAGGGTATTTCTGTAGTGGAAGAGAAGCCAGTCTAGAATGAATTCAATTAAACTCAAATAGAATGCAGTAAGAATCTATTATATTCCAGGCTCAGTGCTAAGGAACTGAGCACACAAAGTCGGATCAGATGAGTGAGGAGCAAAAGTCACCCTAAAGGAAAAGAAATATGTACTATGCATACAGCACATAACACAGAGAGACCCTACTAAAGGAAAAAGTAACGGAGAAGATATTTTCAATAAAGACCTTTAAACAGTGGTAACCAGTTGAGGAAACAATAGGCATTTATAGGACATAACAATAACACCCTTGCTATATGGAACCAGCACATTGTGATCATCTCAACAGAGAGCCACCTCTTTACCTTTCACTTGCTTTTGGAACTTCTGCAGTTCAGGTGCAAGGAGCCCACTGAAAGGTCCAAGACATCCCACTGCATTAGCAATAGCATCTTCATCGTCTGGGTCATTCTCTTCATCACTGTCTTTGACCTTACCATGTCGTCTTGGAAAACAGAAGAAAAAGAAATATACAAAGAAAGTAGTGAATATTCAGTAGAAAATAATTTATGTATATATAGAAAGTCTTCCCCCCATCCCTGTCCAACTTCTGTCCAGTTCTTGTCCCACCTAATTCCCACAGGTGACCCTTATTACTAGCATCCTATATATTCTTCAGTTTCTTTATGCACAGATCAGCAAAAATGACTATATAGTCTTATTCTTCTCCTCTTTTTGCATAAATATTAGTATACTGTATACACCCTTCTGTGCCTCACTTTTATTCACCTAGGAATCTCTCCACATTCACACATGGAGTTTCCTCATCCTTTTATAAGGCAGCACTGTGCTGTATGTACAGAGCCCACGTATGTGTACAAATATATTTCGGGGATATTTCATAAAGGTAGAGGTGCTGGGTCAAAGGATATATACATTAGTAATTTGGGCAGATACTGCCAAGTCACCCGCCTCCAATTCTGTAGTGATTAACCTCTCACCAGCAATGGATAAGAGCATCTGTTTCCCTACAGTCTTATCAGCAGACTGAACATCAACCTTTTGGATTTTTGTCAATGTGACAGGTAAAAAAACAGAATCTCAATCTAGTTTTAAGTACTTCTCTTAGTACAAGTGATATTGCCTTTTACATAAACTGCCTATTCCCATCTTTTCATCATTTTTCAATTGGGTGGTCATTTCTTACTAATTTCTAGGAACTTTATATATGAGAGATCTCAGTTATAAATATTTCTCCACAAATATTTTTACATCTGCTTATGAAGATCTTGTTTTGTTCTGTTTTATTCCCAGTCATGCAGAAAATTATTTTTAAAGTAATTAAATTTAATTTTTTCCTTTATTTTTTTTATTTTGAGTCAGTTATTAAGGCCTTTCCAGTTCCAAGGAACTAAAGTCCTCCTTCTACATTTTCTTCTGCTAATTTTATTACTTCATTTTTCCCTTGTAATTCTTTCATCCGTATGAAATTTATTCTGATTTTTGGCGTGAGGTACGACTCTAACTTTCTTTCTTTCCGTATAGGTCTCACCGGCCCAGAACCATTTACTAAATAGGGTATCTTCACCATTGATTTGATATGCCAAGTTTCATATATTAAATTCCTGTATATACATTTGTCAATTTCTGGTCTTTATAGCATTTTAAATGAGCTCATCTGTCTCTTCAGGAACCAGTTGCACATTACTTTAATTATTGAGACTTTCAATATTTGATGTTTTTAAATAAGTAGTGGGGTTGCTAAATACGCCTTCAGTTTATGTTCCAATCTTCTTTGGAAAGCACACTTTTAAAAATCCCTGTCTTGAATTTAAATCAAAACCTTTTGGAAAGAGACATTCAGATTTTAAGTACCAAATTCCTCTGAACATATTTCTAGGGCTTAACAAATAATAAGTTACAATAACAAAGTATTGTTTTCCATTATGAAAACAATAAAAAAAAAAAAAAGATCTTACCCAGAAACTGAGGTGGATTTAACTGCGGCTGGGAATGGAGTAATGTTGTAGGTGTATTTTTCCCTCAATTCTGCCAGCTGGGGGAAAGGGAATGGAGCCATAGAATAAACAGTCTGAAAAGCAAGAGCAAAAAGGCCAAGTCTGAAATGGCGGCCTGAACAACTCTGATCAATCCTAGGAAGACAAAGTTATGATTGGAGTGTGAAGAGCAGTATTGACTGCCCCTTCCACAGCAGGTGGAAAGACTCCACTTCAACATTCCCTTTGGAGAAAGACAAAAGGATGCCGGTCAATGCAGTGGGGCGTTCTCCCGCTGTGACTGGGCGTCCCAAGTGGTAAACACGGGTGGGCAGATGGGCATTCTGACTCCCTCCTGCTCGTTCGAGGTTGAGTTAATGCAGAAACCCACAGCTCCCCAGCACTTCTTTACCAACCAACCCAGCAAAGCTCTTCAGAGGGAGCCCTTGTCTTTCAAAGCTTTGTTTGATGATTTTTATCGACATTTAGTGTCAGCCTTCTGGGTAAAATTAGGTCTAGTGAGTGATCTTGTGATCAACTGCAAGCTTTCTCCAAAGATACCACCTTTTCCAATGTCTGTGAATGAGTTCTAGGTGAAAATTGTTAGCTGTTATTTTTAAAGAAATAAAAAATAAACAAGAAAAAAGTGACAGGGTATAAAGCATAGGCTGTTAAAAAAATCTATAAATAAAAATGGGAAAAGCACCTGTGCTTCCCCCAAAATTTGAAAATTATATATCATTCTATCAGCAGGAGAAAAGAAATCTTGTTTGCTCTTAATTTTATTAAAATTGAATTGCTCCCAACATATTTCTTCAGTTCTTCAGATTCGTACTCACCAGAAGACATATATTAATCACACTAACTTTCATTTCTCCCAGGAAGCTGTTCAAACCTCCTGATGACGCTTTTCTAGGAAAATTTTAACGTGGTATTTTTCATTTCAGCGGGACCGTTTTTCTGAAGGCTTAGGAGATATCCAATATTTGCATGGGGAGGAAAACAAGGGCTCAGAAGGCTGCTTACACGTGTGGCTGTTTCACTCTAGCTCTGAGCTCTGAGCCCCCGTGACGCTCCACCGCAGTTGTGAGCCTCAACAGCCTGTACATCTGACTGTCCTCAAACTTCAGTGTCCACTTAATCTCACTGCACCATCCCAAGATTCCAAACAAGCAACTGTTGGCTAAAATTCCTTCCCTTCGATTTCCCCGTCACTTATTATGCAAAGTACACAGTTTATGGGGACCACTAAAGTCATCTCCCAGCTGTCTTATCTCAGACCTACTTGATTCTACCCCAGGGCTGAGAAGCAGGACAAATTTACTAACAGTGAACTGTTTCCCCCTGGAAAGAAGCAGAAGTCGTCTTGGGGTTCCCACCAGTCTGGAGTGTGAAACTAAGCCAGCTCCCAACCTCTCTGGGCCTCCTTTTCCTCATCTGAAAAATGAAGGGCGTGAAACTCCAGACCATGATTACCTCTGAGAGGAGCGGGGTGGTGAAAGAGAGAGAGGTGGACGTGGGTGTTCACCTAGGTTGTTAATGTTTTATTTCTTAAGTTGGGTGGTGGGTATATAAGTTTTGTTATGTTATTTTTCATATATTCTGTCTGCCTGAAATACTTCCCCTAATTTCATTAACAACATGGTCAGAGTGAACTCTCACATTCTTTGATCCCACAAAGGGTGCCAACAGCTCCTCACCCAAGGAGAAGTCTTCCCTCCTCGCTCTTAGGACCTGTCTTAGCTCAAGACACCCTTCGAGGGAAAGAGAGAGATGTGAAATCCTCTCCTCAGCACCCGAACTTGAGGTCAGAGAGCGGCACCTCCACCTGGGCCTCAGCAGAGCGGCATCAGCCTGTCACCATCACACACTAACATGGTCCTGCTGCCGGGCCAAGAGCCAGCCTGCCCCTCACTCACGGGACCTTTTCTCTTTAACAATTTAGAAACTTGGTTCAGACATTTAAGAAACCCATACCATTTGGATTCAAATTTAAAAGATGAACTTATCGATTCTAGGAATTTCAAAATTCCTTACAAATGAAGAGGTCTCATTAAAGACAATTGTGAGGTAAACAGCTGAAGACTCACTTTGTTTTTTTTTGCCAGTTTTATAAAAAGATCAGAAAATTCCCTTGTCCGGCCTCATGCAGGAAGTTTATAAGAAAGGAGTGGGAAGTACGTTCCGCCCCTCCTTCGTCCCGTCCTGCCCCAGAGTGGGTGGCCTGGGCTCCTGTAGTGAGCTCCTTCAAAGGCCACTCAGCTGAAGACATTTGCCCAAAAAGAAAACTTACTCCATTGAGCTTTCATTCTCTATTCCTGGTCTTCCTTTCCCTATCATTGACTTCCAGCTACTCCTTCAAAGAAGAAATCAGTGTTCTTGAAACAAATGTGTTGATAGCACCTCTTTGCAGGTACCTCCCTCCCCAGGAGCTCTCTCTGGCGCATCTCAGACAGATGGTCAGAGGGGTCTTGCTTAAACTCTTCTCGTTATGGCTCACACTATTTTGCAGGGCGGATCGTTTCAACTTTGACAGCACTAATTTGTCAAACATTACCCTTCTATTGGACAAGCATCCACATCCTTGTAATTTCCACCCCATCACTGATGGAAAAAAATGAACAGTCCAAGGGCAGACCCTGCTTCATGGCCCATGAGAGCCCCCAAGGTAACAGTAAATTATTGACAAGCACTTTGGTTAGGTTTTTCCAAGCACCTACAAACGCTTCTAATAATCACATCTAATAACTTTTCTCTCTGTTGCCCTCAAGGAATTCATGAGAGACTTTGAAAAAAGTCCTCCTGAAATCCACATACACTAATTCAATGGCTTTCTCCCAATCTCCTTTTCAAACACCAGTTTTTATAATACGCCATTGCTAAAAAAAAAAAAAAAGAGTGTGGTGATTTACGAGGGGAAAAACCCAGATTATTTTGTGTATCGCACTGGGATCTGAAACGAATGGGGAAGACCAAACAGGGAGAATCCTTGCATCTCTTCAGCTCAAAAATAAAGATCTTACACGCAGTCCACATTCTTCATCTGGAGGCATTTCAAGTTTGCTGACAGATTTATGGTCCACTGTAACTGGATCACAGCCATTGAATTAATTTTTTAAAAAAGACTGAATACAGAAAAGAGAGTGGCTTGAAATGACATTCACCATTTCTCTCCTTAATCCTCTATGATGCCAAGGAAAACCAAGAAGTCTATTTACTATCCAAACTACTGACACATACTTACATAGACATTTATATTTAGGCACTGCTGAAAAGGAATTAAATTTCTTTTTTCATTATTGACACGATTTACAAGAAACATGAAAACATAAGTTGTACAAAATTAGGCTCAGTTCATCCTCACCCAGATGTTTTCCTTGGCAAGAGAAATGCTACTAAAATAGTATCTAATCAATCAAGCCACAGCCTACATTTCCCCTCCAGGATTCTCTTAACACAGGATAAAGAGGTAATTCTCTTTTCTCCTGATACCTAAGATTAGAAATTCCTAGAGGAGAAAGTTGGCAAATCTCAACAACGCTCTCATTCCTTCTGGCAACGTTTAAACTTGAGTGAGATAAAATGTTGCTTATTCTTCTAGAGACAATTTCAGCTTTCAGAAAGACAAGTTTTGAAATAGGGTGGAAGCAGTTTGTTGGGTCGAGGGGAAAAGCACGGGGCCAGGAGAGGGGACCTGGGTCTCGGTCCTGGGTCTGCCATCAGATGACCTAAGAAACCGGCAAGATGCTCCCTCTCCAAGCCTTACTTTCCTCTCTCTGAAGTGACAGAATCAGGTGGGTTGATCCTCAAGCTTCTTTTAAGCCAGTGTTCCTCTAAGTGTTGTTTCAAAGCCACCTGCATCAGGACCAAACAGCTGCATCTCCATCCACTCCTGAGACGCTCCTTGGACACAGTCAAGTTTGGAAACCTCTGCCTCAAGTTCTAATGTTCTACGATTCTGTGTATTCGCTGAGCAACCCATGGGCATCCTTAGTGCAACTCTGGGTGCTATGGGGATACAGAGTAGGACAAGGCCCCTACCTATCATTAAGGAACTTGCTGCTTCATTAGAGAAATAAGATGACCATACGTGAAAAAATATCAAACAATATAAAATAACCTAATTAGCATTAAATCAATTGTTGAAAATCTTAAGTACTGAAGGAGCACGGAGGAGGCATCATCCCCAAGGGCTGAGATAACAGGCTGTGTGTGGGGGGAGGTGGAGCAGGCCCCAGGCAGGCAGAGAGGTTTCTCACAGAGAGAGTGTCAGAGGAACCACAAGCCCCGTCACAGGGATGGGCTCAGGCTAAGAGGGCTGGGTGGGGACAGGGCTGTGACCCGTGCAATCGGTCCCAGTTGTGAAGTCACAGGGAACTCCTTCGGATAGGTCAGGAGCACACCTCTAATGCAACCCTCTCCAATCAAACTCATCTTCCTCCGCCATGAACTTACGCTCTTCTTCCTGAGCTAGAAACTTGTAGACTGCGCTTGTCTCCCCCATTTCCTTCTCCCTCGTCCCATATCTATCTTTCATGGCCAAGTCGCATCAACTTCACCTTCTAAGTACTGTCTCTGTTCCATTCATTTGTTGCTTTTTTTTTTTTTTTTTTTTTTGAGGAAGATTAGCCCTGAGCTAACATCTGCCGCCAATCCTCCTCTTTTTGCTGAGGAAGAATGGTCCTGAGCTAACATCCATGCCCATCTTTCTCTGCTTTATATGTGGGATGCCTACCACAGCATAGTGTGCCAAATGGTGCCATGTCCGCCCCTGGGATCCAAACCAGCAAACCCGGGCCACCGAAGGGGAACTTGCGCACTTAACCGCTGCGCCACCAGGCCGGCCCCAGTTCCATTCTTGTTTCTACCCACCCCTGCCTCCTCCCAGGCCTCCTGCTATCAGACTGGACCCTTCAGAGCCACCCTTCACAGGACTGCCCATGTAGTCAACATCAGACAAAACTCAGCCAATTTCTCTCCTCTCCTCAAAACCTTGAAGGCCACAGTGCTTCTTTTTCCTTTCCCAAGGGCTCCACAGAAGCCCTAGACCTCCAACAAGCACAATTTCACAACCACTGACAGGAAAGATCAAGCCCACACTCCCATGGTTGCGGTCTTCCATAAGCCATCCTGATACCAGACCACTTGTAGTTTCCTTCACACGCCACACAGGTTTTCAGTGCTCTGCCCTTGCTCGTGCTGCCCCGTCAATCACAAACTGCCTGTCTGCTCTGCACCACCACCTCCAACACACACACACACACACACACACACACGCACCCGTGAATACACGTATACACATATACACACAGAGCCTGAACAACTCCTACTTGTCTTTAAAGGTAAAACCAGACATAAATTCCCTCAAAGAAGGCTTTTGACATACAGAGATGCTCAATAAATATCTGGAGAAGTTAATATAGGGCTTAGAAAACTAGGCTGAAGCATTTTGTTTACTGCAATTAATAACAAGCAAGCAGTGAAGGTTTCATGAAGAACAATGAAATGACCGAAGCAGTAAGTGTGGACAATTGCTCCAGAAGCAAAATGCTGACCGGACGAGAGCAGAGGGGACCTGGAAGGACGGCCGTCATCGGTGACGGATGTCTAATTCAGCAATTACTTATGGAAAGAGAGAAGGCAGAAAACGAATGGCAGACTCTCAATAGATGTTTGCTTAATGAATTAATAAATGTACTGACACCCCCAGAAAAAGGCAAAGTGCTGAGTGTTATGAGCAAAAGCACAGTCTCCGTCCTCAAGGAACTTAAACTGTCACCGAGGAAACCAGGTAGTGTCTTAACTCAAGGCAGAACGTGACAAATGCTCACAGGAGAGGCACAAAGACAATGTCGGGGTGACTTAAAGAAATGGGAGATGATTTTGGTTGAGACCATCAGAGAATGTGTCACAAAGGAGATGGCGTCTGAACTGGAACTTTCACAAGGAGGCAGTCCTTAACCACGTGATGGCAGAAGAGGAAGACTGAGCAGAGAGCAGAGGAGGCACCTCACCAGGCATGTCTGGGAGCATGGAGCACAGTTTAACTTGACTAGGATCGGTCAAGGGTACAAAAGGAGGAACCGGAACCATGGCTGAAAAGGTAGCTTAGCGCCAGAGAGTCGAGAGCACTGGCTGATAGGCTGAGAAAGTCATGCCTTGTTTTGGAGGCAGTGGGAGCCACTGAAGTTTCATGAGTGAGGGAGAAGGGACGCTATCTCAGAGTCCTGCTTGGGGCATACGCGTTGGGCAGTTCTGCAGGATGTAAAGGATGTCCTCTGTGTTGAACGCCAAGCACTGACCTGCAGTGATGGTCAATAAAAGACACTTGCCTCCAGGAGAGAATGAGGGACGAAGCAACGGCGCAGGATGTGTGAAAAGGGTTGGAATCAGAGGGTCAGACAGAACACTTCCTCCTCCGAGACAGAAAGGAGGAAGAAAGAAGAGATGAGAATGCAAAGAAAAGCTGAAATAAAAATACGGATGTTCAGGGAGGTTCTATCAGGTGGTCAATATTCTCAATAAATCAGGTAGCTTGTCTGCTAAAGTGAGGGATTCTGAGAAGGAGTGGGGGTGCTGAGAAATGAGCAAAGTTACGGAAGCTCCTCCAGTCCTGGAGCAGGAGCCTGAGGCTTCATTTTCTAATCTGTCAACTGGGCCCCAGAACCCAAAAATGACCTCAGGCATGGAACCTCATATGAAGGGAAATGCTGAAACCAAGAAAAAGGAGGGAGAAATCACAGAGAAAGAAGGAACTGAGGCCCAAGGACAAGCTTGGAATGGCCCACAGTTGGTCAGTGAGCAAGAGAAAGACCCAGGAAGAGAACAAATGGTCAGAAGCATCAGAGGAGAGTGAGGACAAAATTAGGTCACAGAACCTAATGGAAGAGACAATGTGAACAAGTCCGCTATCCCTTCTAGACTCCTGTCGATTTCAATGACTCAGCGAACGTGATATTAGACAGAGCAACGTGCCAGCAAACAACAAAACCTTTCCAGTCTTTCATATTGAAATTTATGATTAATATATAATATAACATGAATAGAAAATGTGGGCAAAACAACTAAAATGCTGATTAGAATAATCTCCTTTTTATCCTCAACAATTCCTTCCTCAAAATAATTATTTCACCCCACAAGTCTCCCTTTAATAAGACTAAGAATCAGATTCAGAATAAGCACCTGGTAATTTGGGGGGGGAGGGAGGGTCTGGTTTATTTTTTTTTAAATATATTTTTGTATTGTACCTCATGATTTTTAAGCAACACAGTCTGAATGACAGCCACAACAAATATCCATTATTCATTATTTTCATTATTCACTCCTTCCTCTTGTGACGTGGTTAGATTCTTATCCCATTATATATAGACTCGTGGTCAGGTGATAAACTAAATCTGCGGGCTGACCAGTACATTTCCCGAGACCCCTGCTCCAGCACTGCTGTTCCCACAGTACCCAGGGTTCCCCGAGCCAACACAGACCGTGCTGCCCACTCACTTGCATGAGTTCATGGCTTTCCAGAAGGTCATTCTCCAGCATCTCCTGGGTGAGGCGCCCCATGGTGCCGTAGAATTCATCCGCTGTTTCACAACATTCTATCTGCCTAGATAAAGAAAGGACAGAGAAAGACTCGTTGAGGACACCCACAGTGTCTATCAGGTGCATGCTACAGGTACAACTGATGTGTCACCTCCCGCTCAAAGCAATCAAGTTAGCAGGCCACAAAAATCAAAATCCCAGAACACGCTCCCAGTGTAGTCTGCTGTATGCAGAGAAAAGACAAAAAAAATACCAAAGGCAGCTCAGAGGACTTATGACAGGATGAGTTTCCATCTTTCCTACCCTGCTCCCCAGCCAGCCTCACAGCCCCGCTGTGGCATCTTTACTGCATCCGTGTGACACTTTCTATACATCAGAATACCCACAACTGATCAGAAACCATAACCAGGAAATTGGGTACTGAAGACAATTACCCCCTGGAGGGAATCTGTTGCTGTTAATCTGCAGACTGCAATATCGTTGACAGACTGAACCCAGACCACAGTAGAAGTGAACGAGGGAAAACACAAGAACTTGATCTTATTTCATTCTTGGCCTATTTCATCAGTCCACAGGATGTTTTCACAGGCAGGATTTTTCCAGTTCTTCTCAGGGCCCTGCCGCTGGTTGGAGATGACGCCCTGCTTCTTGTGTTGGGTTCCACATGTAAATAAAGACTCTGCCACCTGGCAACCTATTACTGACCCTGTTTGTATAGTAGGATAATCCTATTTGCCCACCGAGTACAGACATGTAGTCAAGACACACTAATGTTGGGGGATTTCCCTAAGGCCATCCAGAAAATACGATGATGGGGATCTTTAGGCTCTGGAGTGCCGTTCAAATCCCATTGCCACAATCATGTAAATGCGTAAATGAAATAAACTGCTGATGCATTATAACAAAGACACAGAGTAGCATGTGGGCATAAATGAAAAGGTGGTTAAGTTTACCCTGGGGCATGAGGAAGAGAAACAATGCTTGAGATGAGTTTCGAAAAACATTCTCCGAGTTGACAAGGAAGAAAAAGCATTCCAAAGACGTGGATGCAGGAGACAGCAGACCCTGCTAGAGAACTGCAAGTAGCTACACACGACCAGAGTTGGGGGTGGCTGCACCGCCAGAGGGAGCCGGCGAGAGCTGAAGGTGGAGCTGCAGAGCGCAAATCGCCGGGGCCTCACCCGCCAGCTGAGCCCCTTCAGGACAGGAGTCACTGAAAGGCTTTTAAGAGGGAGTGTGGGAGCAGAGGTGCCCTTGGCAAGGGGGGCCTGGAGGTGGCATGGCAAGTATGGGGTTCCACGGGAGACCTGGGAGGATTCACCGCAACAGGCCAGGCAGGAGGCAACAAGGGATCGAACCAAAGCAGTAGGGTCAGAGGAGAAAGGACACGGAAAAGGGGTACCAGTATGGTGAGCTGATGGTCCATAACTTAAATACCCCCAAAGCACCGTTGGTATGAGTGAGAGGAAGAAACTCCAAGTTGCAGAAGCAAGGTGAAAGGAGACGTCCCCTGGATAACCATAGTGAAGGCACATACGTTACTCAGGGGTACGCAAACTGGAGGTTACCTACATGCTGTCTAGGGTTTTTCCAATGGAGAGTTTGTGCAGAAGTTCACAGGCACTGGAATCGGAAAGATCCAGGATTAAGTTCCGGGTCTGCTACTCATTAGCTGGGTGACCTTGAACTAGTAATTAACCTTCCCGGAGTAGTTTTCTCACTTGAAAAGACAAGAAGAATCACCCTACCCACTTCACAGGGTCATGGGAGAACGAATGAGATAATGTGTTTAAACTGCCAACATAATGACGCAACTGATGAGGCCTGCTGGTTGATTTCGTTTCGCTTAACAAGCTGCGTGCTCAAAACATGTAGAATTATAACGAGCAAAGACTCTGAAACATTTACAATCCCACCAGTGTGGTTCATATATGGCCTGAACTTCATGAACAGTAGCTATTTATTATCAATGGATTCACATTATTAAAAGCGCAGATTCTAGAGCCAGCATACCTGGGTTCAAAACCGGGCCCTTCCACTTACTAACTGCGTGACTTTGGGCAATTTACTGAACTTCTCTATGCCTCGGTTCCCACATCTGTAAAATGGGGATGATAACAGTACCCACCTCATGGGATGACAGTGAGGACTAAAGGAGTTTATTTTACGTCTAGAGTGCTTAGAACAACGCCTGTCCACTGTACACACTCAACGAACACTGGATTTCAAGCACAGTTATTATTTCAACAGTGTGACATCCCTGGGATGACTGTATGAGTAAGTTCTGATCCTACAGATAACAGAGAGATGGGAGTAAAACCAGAATCACCTCTTTTCCCGCTGCCCCATAATTAAGAATTAACACAAGGGTGACCATAGCTGAGCCAGCATACAATAAAGTGCTTACTATTTTAATCCTATAAACTAGTTACTCAGTAACTGGATTATCACGCCTAGAGAAACTATCAAAGCTCAAAGAGCTTCCAAGGTGTAGAGGAGGCTGGAAATATCTGACAGCAGAAAGAGGTAGACATTGGGAGAAAATGAAAAAGATAAGTAAATAGCACCCCAAATCCCCCACAGATGATTTTTTTTTTGCCTAGCTGAAAAGCAACGTACAATAAAATAGTCAAAGCAGTCAGCTATGTGATGTTTACACACACTTACACACAACAATGATTTTTTAAATCCCTGAATTGATAGTTGCTGGATCTTTCTTGCAAAAAGTAAAAAATGCTACAAGTCTCCTAGGAAAAACTTATACATGAAAAGACTAGTTAAAAGACTTTTGAAACAAAACACTGGCAGTGATTTACTAGTTTTCTGATATGTTGTCTCTGGCTATCCAATCAAGTCATCTGTAGCTCTAGGAAACAAATATTAAAAACTTCTCTGCATCTTAAGTTAACTCTAACAATTTCAGCCTAATATTTCTTCCATTATCCAAAAGGCAGAATTTTAACATAATACTCACAATATATTAGAGATGGGTGAAAATACCCTAGTTTTCTCAGCCCTGCCACTAGTAAGGAAGGTAAGTAAAATCTATTTGGTAATATGTTTGGTGGTAATAGACTTCAACATAGAATTAATTCTTGATGAAAGGAAAGAAGTTACATGTGTTCTGCTATTGACTATGTACCAAGTGCCATGCTAGATACTTATACATATAATCACATATAATCTCATTTATCACAGCTCTAAACAGCAGACCAAAATAAGAAAGATTCAAAAACAAGACAAATTGCGATATTGACTGACAAACCCCCCCACCCTTCTCCAGATCTCCCAGTTCCTCTTCCATCTAAGTTCCTCTCCCTCTTCCCAGCTTCCCTCTTCCCAACTAGTGTCAGGAAAGATGCTGAAAAAGAGTAAACCAGCCAGAACACTAGCATGGGAAGGAGGAGGGGAGTCTACAGGCCTGAAAAAGCCTGCCCCCTTCTCTAAAATAGATTCCATCTCTGGGGGCCAGCCCGGTGGTAGCGTGGTTAAGTTCATGCATTCCACTTGGGCAGCCTGGGGTTCGCAAGTTCAGATCCTGGTGCAGACCTATACACTGCTCATCAAACCATGCTGTGGTGGTGTCCCACATATTACAAAATAGAGGAAGATTGGCATGGATGTTAGCTCAGGGCCAATCTTCCTCAAGCAAAATAGAGGAAGATTGGCATGGATGTTAGCTCAAGGCCAATCTTCCTCAAAAATAAATAAGTAAATAAATAAAATAGATCCCACCTGCCACCCAACATTGAAGAACGAGCCAGCTGAGATTTCAGAAGGCAAAGCGATTGCACAATTCATAACTTTCTCTTTTCCTCATACTTAATATCGATGTTTTACACATTAGAGCACAAAAATTGCATAAGCCCCTCCACACCACAGAAAAGAACAGAAGGGGGAAATCACTTACTCTCCCAATTTTGCCCAGATCGCCAGTGACACCCTTAGGATGATTTCCGAACCTTCGAAGAAGACTGAATCCCAAATCTTTAAAACTGTGTGGTTAGGGAGGCACGTAGCGAAGAGAGTGAGGAACCACTGCATGGTGAAGACATTCGTCAGCGGGGGCTCATATCCACCTGGAAGAAAACCAGCACTCCACAATTCTTCAGAACTGACGACTGCCAACATATAAAAATACCCTCTTTCAATCTTCCGCGGCCACCCAAATCTGTTACACTGCCTCACTGACTTGTTAATATCTCTAAATTCTGGTTCTTTCCTGTTTTCTTTTTTTTCCTTTTTCTGGAAGAACATAGGTGTTTAATAAAAATTTCAATAATATGAACTTTACAAATTCTTTGCGATATTTCAGAAATCTTAACCTAAAACTTAATTTGGCTCTACCTATTGTGGGGTGCTGAAAACTAAGGAAAATATTTTCCTCACCAAAAACAGGATAGAAAGAAAGGATTTAAGCCTCTCAAAGGCAAAAGCCAATTTTCGAAACCAGGTAAAGCCCACGTGTATTCAAATGCTGCTGATAAAAATAAAATTGTTCATTACATATTACTTGTCTACTTCTTAAATTATACACAGTTCTAATACCACAATGGAATTAAACTAGGAATCAACAACAGAAAGATAGCTGGAAAATCCCAAAATATCTGGAAATTAAACAACATGAAATTTTAAAATACTTTTAACTAAACTGTACACAGTTTTAAAGATCTGGGATCCAGCTCACTTTGAAGTTTCTAAATTAAGTAAAAACACAGAGCTCTCTCCCATTTCCTGTAATGGCATAAGAATGTATTTTAATAAAATACAAAAATTTAGATACGTGGACTAATCCTCCCTCCAAATTACAGTCAGAATGTGCATTTACGCAAATATAAGCAAAAAGAGATGTGTTCTCCCACACTCATTTTCCTTCTTCCTACCTAGGAAGAAAGGGAGACCTTTGTTCAGAGACTAGAGTCTGAGGTCACCCCGCCATGGGCAAGTGCAGGGCACCTGGAGCACAGTAAAGTGTGTCTGACTATGGGGCAGGCAAAGTGGTTCTACATGGAAGCGTTATGAAATCCACATAGGTGCAAAATTATACTGCACAGCCAAATTAAATGAGATTATTCAAATGGCTTTGAAGGAAATGCTTAGACACCACCCAGGGGTCACTAAAATTTCTAGCGTATTTTAATCACAGATTAAGTCCTCAAAATCCTTTAATATTTTCCCAGATTTAAATGCTTAGGTCAGGATCCAGCAACCATTTACAGAAACACAACAAACTTGTGACTACTCTTTCTGGTATCCCGAGCACAGCCACGCAAGTGCAAGCAGGGGTGTAGTTGCAGCTACCAGCTCAGGCACTTTGGAAAGCTGGACGATGCCCACTAGATGACGGCCACTCTCAGACCCGCCTGCAGAGCCATCTCCATCACTGCCCCACTCAACCCAGTGCCCTCACGGGTGAGCTTCTACCCGGAGGTCCAGAAGAGACATCCTCCAGAAACAACTAGCCCGTTCACCTCAGCTAAACCTAAACACCCTTAGCATGAATGAATAAAAGGAGCATTAAACATTTCAATCCAAAGGACTGCTTTTATCTCCTGCCATTTGATGAAAATACACACTCCATTCCCCATAACCTCAACAGTTCAGGCAAAACCACAGTTTGTGCTAAATTCTATCCGTAGCTCAGTTTTAAAGAACTCCTATAGGTTTGCACCAGCTTAGAGCAGTTTAACTAGATGGTAAGACCCAGACACCCTTCTTCATCTGGAGTACAATACATCACTTTAGCTGTTGATCTGATACTGGTGAAGTCTGAGGTTCCTGGCCAACTTCCTAACCATGACCAGTTAGCAATTCAACACGTGGCTCTAGTTTTTTTCAGTTTTGTTTTTATGCTCTAGAAATCAGTTTCATGGCAGCAAACTCTCACCAACAGAAACACCTGAAAACCTGTATTTCCATCAAAGCTTAGGCTCATATGGACAGTGGACGCAGAGAAGTAAAGTCCTTTCAAAGGCATGACAGCACTGGGTCATCACTACCTCCACTTTCCTTGTTGGCAGTTCTCTGAAGAGTGTCCAGGTGCTGAGACAATTCAGGGAGCTTCAGTCTCAGGAGGTCTCTGAAGACGGCCATATCCACAGACAGCGCCTGGAGATTATTGACGAAATAGCTTTCAGGAAGCACCTTATCAATAAGGTAAATCATAATCTGAAGAAAAAGGTAAAGAACAGGACGGCTTCATAAAAACTGGTATCTTAACATGTCCTAAATAGAAAGAACATATTCAAATGGGTAAAATACAGCTAGCCAAAGCACACTATCCTTTAAATGTGTCCATACCAAATGTCCTGGATTTTCTAGGCTCATCTCCACCCTGGGTAAGGAGCGGGCGGCATAATTATCTCAGTAACTCAGACCCAAAATCTGCTTCTGTCTGAAATTTCTAGACAGACCACTAGACCTGAGTTCACCCCATAAGTAGCTGTGTTCAGACAACCCTCAGTCTCGCTCCGAGAAAGTCACAGAGCGCCTCCTTCATCAGCAGCCAACGGGAATCTCAATACTGGCCGTCATAAAACACCCGCCCGAAGCAGGTCTCAAGATTCACTCACCGTTTACCTGAGTTATTAGAACAACCAATATTGGCTTCTTGTCCACTTTCCTCTCCTGGGAGAATGCACCAAGGTTTTGTTTGAACAAATGATACTCTTAAAATCTGGATTTCTTTCATAAGATCGTCTCACAAGTTCTTCAAATTTACTATTTTTATTCTCACTTTTCCATTTGAGTTACCTTTTCTAAGATGTCAAGAACCACTAGAACGATCCCGCAAACGCACCTGAGTTCTATCCATCAATCTCTGGTCCTCTCCCTGTCAGCTCGCATGCTATTTATGCTCCCCTCCCAAGAAGACCCACTCATTCCCCAGAGCACAGGAAAAACAACCTTCAGAACAAAATCGTAGCTGGCCCTACCTGTTGGTAGAGAAGCAGCTGTCTCACATTTTTATTTTCAGCATATCACAAAATCCTATTTTCCAAAACAACTATCTCCCAGACCTGACAAGGGCTCCTTTTTCTCTCAACCCTGGCTTGGGATTTCTACTTTGAGGGTCATAGTCTTGACGAAGTCAATAAGGGCTGGGGCATACTCTTGAGAAGGTCCCTCTGAGGCCTTTATTACAGGAGGGGACAGGCCCAGGGAGTCTCCTCAGCCTTCTTATGTTGGGACAGAATTTCCCAGGTAAATGCATCATCATCTTGGAAATAGGAGCTTAGCAATAAAAGGAATATATTCAATCTGAGAGGAGGGAGGAGGTCCTGGACAGACCGGGGCCAGCTGAGGTGAAGAGCAGATCTCCAGCAGAGCAGAGAGCCCTGGCAGGGACCTTGCACTCTATGAGTAAGGAGAAGAGCGATTTATAGGACCAAAAAGCAAAATTTAAAGGTATGTCTGTCTATCATTGCATTTTTCACAAGGATATAAAACTGAGATAGATACTTAAGTTTTTGTGAAGAAATTATGATCCCTCAAAGTTACATGAAACATGAAAAAAAATTCCAATTATCACAGTAATTCTTGTGACACATTGAAATCCTCTGTCTAAAGGCACCTCAAAGTCTGAAGTAAGCCGTAAGAGCAGCTATGTCTTATGGCAGGTATGTCACTCCATCCACTACCGTGTTTCAAAGGCCAAACGTTAGATCTTAAAAAACAAAAATTAGGATAAATAACGGCAATAGAGGAAAAATAGTCTTTTCAACCAAGAGTGCTAAACAATTGGACATCCACATGCAAAAAAAATGAACCTAGACACAAACCTTACACCTTTCACAAAAATTGACTCAAAATAGACCATAGACCTAAATGCAAAATGCAAAACTATGAAACTCCTAGAAGATAACATAGCCTAGATGACTTTGAGTATGGCAATGACCTTCCAGATACAACAGCAAAGGCACGATCCATGAAACAAACAATTGATAAGCTAGACTTCATTAAAACTAAAAACTTCTCCTAAACTAAAAACTAAAAACAACATCCAGAGAATGAGAAGACAAGCCACAGAATGGGAGAAAATATTTGCAAAAGACACATCTGATAAAGGACTGTTCTCCAAAATATACAAAGAACTCTTAAAACTCAACAATAAGGAAACAAATAATCCAATTAAAAATGGACCAAAGACCTTAACGGACACCTCACCAAAGAAGATATTCAGATGGCAAATAAGCATACGAAAAGATGCTCCACATCATATGTCATCAGGGAAGTTCAAATTAAAACAACAATGAGATACCACTACACACCTATTAGAATGGCCAAAATCTGGAATGCTGACACCATCAAATGCTGACAAGGATGTGGAGCAACAGAAAATCTCATACATTGCTGGCAGGAATACAAAATGGTATACAGAAGTACCCCCTTACCTGAGAGGGGATACATTCCAAGACCGCTAGTGGATGCCTGTAACTACAGGTAGGACCAAACCCAATACGCACTATGTTTTTTCCTATACATACACACCTATGATAAGGCACAGTAAGAGATTAACAACAACTTCTCTTTGGCATATCTGAATCGCCAGCATCACAACACTCGCACTTCGGGGCCATTATTAAGTAAAACAAGGATTCCTTGAACAAAAGCACTGCAAGACCCCACAGTCGATCTGATGAAGGAGAGGGCTGCTAGTTGACTAATGGGCAGGTAGCATATATGGCGTGGATCTTCTGGACAAAGGGATGAGTCACTTCCCAGGCAGGATGGAGTGGGATGGCACAAAATTTCATCACACTGCTCAGAACAGTGTGAAATTTTAACTTATGAATTGTCTATTTCTGAAATTTTCCATTTAATATCTTCAGACCAAGGTTGACCACAGGTAACTGAAACCAGAAAAGCGAAACCACAGCTAAGGGGGGACCACTGTAGTCACCATGGAAGACAGTCTGGTGGCTTCTCACAAAACTAAACATACTCTCACCATACGATCCAGAAATCACACTCCTCGGTATTTACCCAAACTTACGTCCACACAAAAACCTGCACAGATGTTTACAGCAGCTTTATCCATAACTGCCAAAACTTGGAAGTAACCAAGCTGTCCTTCAGTAGGTGAATGAGTAAGTAAACTGTGGTGCATCCAGACAGTGGAATGTTATTCGACACTAAAAAGAAATGAGCTAACAAGCCATGAGGAGACACGGAGGAAACTTAAATGCATATTACTAGGTGAAAGAAGTCAATCTGAAAAGGCTCCATATGATTCCAACTGTATGACATTCTGGAAAAAGCAAAACTACGGAAACAGTAAAAAGATCAGTGGTTCTTGGCGTGGGGCGGGGGAGAGGTGAACAGGCAGAGCACAGAGGATTTTTAGGGCAGTGTAAATATTCTGTATGATATTATAATCATGAATTCACGTCATTACACATTTTTCCAAACCCATAGAATATACAACAACAAGAGTGAACCCTAGTGTGAACTATAGACTTTAGGTGATTATGAAGCGTCAAGTAGGTTCATCGACGTTAACAAGTATACCCTCTTGTGAGTGATGTTGATAATGGAGGAGACTGCATGTGAGGAGGAGCGGTGTATGCTAAATCTCTGTACCTTCCTCTCAATTTTGCTGTGAATCTAAAACTACTCTAAAAAAACTAAGTACTTCTAAAAAAATAAATAATAGGAGAGCTCCAAATTTCTAACCAATAGTTTAAAACAGTTACTAAGAAAAAACAGTAAGTGCTGAAGAGCAGAAAAAATAGTATACCCACTTCTAAAAACCATATATTATTTCCCTCATAACTACAACTTGCAGAAGCCAAAACAGCGTCTGGAAAAACACTGACACCGATCTTGTCCTTTGGGTCAGAAGTGTTTCTTCATGAATTCAGCCTTCCTCTCTGCATATTAAACATCTAAACACAAGATTCCTAAATGATGGTGATGTCATTTCATTCCACAGAGTTCATTTTCTTAGAAGCAAAAATATAAATATTCAGTTTCACAGCTTTATCTAGTCCATCTTTTCACGCGAACTTTTAGATCCTCAAGCATCACTGAGCCCCTTCATGATGTGACCGGCGTGGGTACCCCATTCCCCAGCCTCTCCACCCACCTAACCTGAATGGTTTACTCCTACTTTTCAACAGAACCGTTCTCATTTTATAGTCATACGAATCGCATCTGAAAAAAAATTGACTCAAGCTGACAGATTGAGTAAACAAAATTGCTTCTTAATAAAAACCGTTTTAAACTCGTGTATTTGATTGGTCACTGCCTGCTCCCACCACCCCCACCTATTTGCTAAACAAGTAACTTCAACGCTATTTCCTTAAACACATGAATGGAAAAAGTGAGAGGGCGAATACTGATTTAGATCATGTCAGGCTGGGTTTATAATTAATTCCACCATAATGTGTATAAAACCAGGAGGAACACTGGTTTATTTTTCCATATGACACCAGTCAGCGATTGAGTATCACTGAGATATTCAGCACAATCAAACACAGAGTGGGGCGTGGGGGAGCGGGTTCTCGAATACACTAAGTACCCCTCCCATCCATCACAAAGCATTGCAATCAACAGCAGTTCAAGGGTTCAAATATGAATTAACAACCCGATATTGCCCCAAGTAAATAGTGCAGTGGCCATCCTGCACGTGGGAAATGATTCATTTCTCATAAAGATTATTTCTGGTGACTGACTGACTCACATTCAGACCCATAAGCCTAAATTGCTACTGTCTCATCTCAAAGAATTTCCAGAATTTTTTTCTTTTTTACTAATAAAGGTCTTAGGCATCGAAGATAATAAAAGATAATAAATATAATGCACTTCATAACCTTTCTCCATGCAAACACCTTACATCACAGACATTCACTCTCAGCCTACCTCCTCCACACCTCGCCCCAGATGTGAAAGAGGAAGGCAACTTCATAAGACCCAACCAGAATTAAGCATAACTGATGGAGTAGGCAGTTTCTACTATGACCCCTCCCTGGTGATCCCCCACTCCTGGGAGTCACACCCTCATATAAGCCCATCCCCTTGGGTATGAGCTGGACCTAGTGACTGGCTTCTAATAAACAGAATACAGCAAAAGTGAGGGAACGTCACTGCTAATATGAGGCTACAAATCTGTGAGTTAATCTCTCTTGCCTTGCTCACTCTCCTGCTCACTCTGAGGGATGCCAGCCACCATGTGGTGAGATGGACAGGCCCACATGGCAAGAAACTAAAAAAGGCCTCTGGCCAACAGCCAGCAAGGAATCGAGGCCCTTAGTCCAACAATATGTGAGGAATTAAATCTTGCTGACAATGACATGAGCAAACTTGGCAGTGAATGGTGCCTCCCAGTGAGCCTTCAGATGAGACTGCAGCCCCAGCCAACATCTGAATGTCCCAGTGACGTGACAGAGTCAGCTATGCCACACCCAGATTCCTGAGCAGAAGAAACTGTCAGGTAATACATGTTTGCTGTTCTAATCGGCTATTTTGTTATGCAGCAATGGACAATTAATACAATTAGTATTTAACTTGCTTTAAAAACATGATGTCTTATAAGTGACACTAAAAATATAATCATTCTCCTCCCATTTGGCAGCGACGTGAGTCTGTCACTTGACCTGGCTTGAACCTGGAGGCAGTGGTATCATGGATAATTACAAAGGTGGAGCACACACCTTGGAAGGGCTGGGGCATCAGAGAAGAGAAATGATGGTTCCAATGTTTCCCTCTCAGAAGAACCTCATTGCCTTCTTCAGACCTGATACTCACCTTCAGGGCATCCCCTTCGTTGCCTTCCACCACTTCCAGAATTAGTGCAGCCAGGATGTTAAAGCCTTGGCAGTACCCAACATTCTTGTTCCATCGGGCATAGGCCAACAGAACCCGTTTCAACACAACCCTGTCCCGCTCGGCCTCCTGGCCACAGTAGGAACTGCAGCCTGTGCGGTGAAGATCCTAAAACGCAAGCGAAACAGCATCTTTTAAAGTAATTCCTTACATTCTCTCCAAAAAATATCTTTATTTCTTTGTCTCAGCGTTAAACAGAATCAGACTACCAACATGGATTTTAGTTTTAAAAAAATGAATACGCACCTTACACACATGGGCCAAAACAATTTTTTTTAGTTTCCTTTTTCCTGTTTTCTAACATGCTAAGAGAAATTTTCTTCCCAGTTTTATTGAGATACAGTTGACTAAGAGACATTTTCAAGAGCTATTTCAGTCAGGCACATTTTCTACTTAAAGTGTTTACAGAATTAACACAAAAGTGACTCCGAATTAACAAAAATTACATTATAATTCCATATAAATTGACAGTCTGTTTTAATAATATGTCTCAGATAAAACAATAGTCATTTCAACACATGTATGAAGGATGTTAACATTATTCCTTTCTATAAAAAAATGATATAATATTCAGCTATCAAAACTCTAAATAATACTAAGGAGCAAAACCAAAACGGCAAAAAAATGCAAGCTGTACTATCAAGAGACAGAAAAACCATTCAGCCCAAGACAGAAAAAAATCATTCATCCAAACTGTTTCATAAATTTGAGTGAAAAAGACAGCAACATTTGCTGTGCTTTAATATTTGACGAGGGCAATATCCATAATTTAATAACCAAGCGGAGACTACGATTTTCAATAGCTGAAGTCATTTTAGTGACATAGCATTCACTTCAATGAGAAAAATGAAAGATCCGCTTAATAACATGATTGTTATAAAATGTGCATTGCCCTAATTCACAGTTTAAATAGAAAGAAAATATTTCAAATACAGAATACTTCATCTCTGAGGAACATAGTCTGAAATTCCAAATAAACCGCTCAAAGGTGGATAGCGCAAAGACTTTTCAAGTACACAAAATAGAATTCCAAAATTACATTTAGCGTTTATCTGAAACAGACCAAGTGAGATCTAGAAAGTAGCTCCTTTTAGTTAGTACTTCCTCACGAAAAAAGTATCTTCATAGCTGCCAAAACTCTAGCAATCTTCCGGTGACCAAAATTTAGATGAAACAAATTTCCTTTTAAAATGCCGGCTTAATTACACTGTGATATACTTATATGAAATCAAAAACCTTTTGCTAGAGGCTTATGTAAGAGAAAGATAGTGCGATCAAATTGCATCAGCAGCCTGGGCTCTGGGCATCGGGCTCTAATCAACCGTAATAATCCCAGAAGGCAGACCACAGCTGCCTCCACAGCTGGCTTGAACCCTTGACCATCTGGTTCAAAGGAGACTCACCAGTCAATCTGTCCCCATAAACTGACAATTAAGAAATAATCAAAGACCTAGTAAGAGCCCAATTACTCTAATAGGAAATAGCCTTAAATTTCTCAGTCAGTGACTTTTATGTAAATATCCAGTTAATAGCACTGACCCGGGCTAAAGAAAAATAAAAAGGGAATTTCAATCTCCTATCATGTGAGCAAGATAAATAAACTGAATATGAATGGAAACATTTTCTCCTTACTGGCAACATACAAATTTACGAAGACAAGGCATAGTCAAAATTCCCCATCAAAAGGTTGTTAACTAATGAAATGAGGAAGCAGAAAATATACAGACATTCAGACCCTAAGGTTTGATCCTCTGTCCAGGAAACATCTGGCTCTTCGAATCTCCCCTCTAAGTTAGGACAACAGGCCAAGCTCGGGAGCATTACCTTGACTATCTGAATTCCCATTGAGTCATCGTCAGGATTACTCCTTTCATTGAAAGTGAAGCGCATGGTTTTGTCCCAATCGATCGCTATACTGTGCAAATAATGATCGGCCAAGGTCAACCAAACCTAGAATATTAATGGATAAAGAAGAATACTAAAGCAAAATACATAATTTCACCTTCCTTTATTAAAAATAGTTATTCCAGGAGTCGGCCCTGTGGCCCAGTGGTTAAGTTCTCAGCAGCCCACGGTTTCACTGGTTCGGATCCTGGGCGCAGACGTGGCACCGTTCATCAAGCCATGCTGAGGCGGCGTCCCACATGCCACAACTAGAAGGACCCACAACTAAAAATATACAACTATGTACTGAGGGGATTTGGGGAGAAAAAGCAAAAAAAAGAAAAAATAGTTATTCCACCCAACAGAAAAATGGGAACTGATCCTAGACCAGATACAGCCCACATGGAGAAATCTACTTTTCACTGAAAGTTTGCTGTACTGAATTATACCAATTAGGGCCTTGCATTTATTCTTTCAATTAATATTTGTCGAGTTCCTACTATGTACCAAGCAATGATCCAGCCACGAAAGATACTGTTAAGAAAACAAAGAGATTTTTCAGATTTTATTTCAATTCACTGGATTGGCTGTATTATCGTATGAGTTTGTTATATTCGCTCTGCATTGCTCTCTCTGCTTGAGCAAGAGTCACCTGGTCATTCGTGGAGAATGGGCCTTTTTTTACCATTGGGTGGCCTTTACCTTTCAATCATCCCTCCCTCATACAGACAAAAAACCTGACAGATGGGCTCCCAGAATGAACATCCTTTTCAAGAGTCACTGGATATTTTTACTCCTTTGATTACCTTGTTCTCAAAAGCTGTTTCTGAAAGACGTATTTCACAATGCCATTTTTAATGTATATTTTGAGGGACACTCAATGTTCAAATTCTAGGAGTATTAAGACTAGGTTTATAAATTAATATACTAAGAAAGCATTTCAAGTCTTGGTATTTGAATATAATTTAGCAGGAAAAACACTGATTAATATCTCCAGCCAGACTTTTCTCCCAAACATCAGAATCCTATGTCTAAACGTCTACTTGACACCTTCAATTTAGATGTCTAATAGGCATCTCAACCATAACAAATCCAAAACCAATCATATCCAAAACCCATCATCTAATCCATCACCCCTCAACTATACATACACACACACACACATCTGCTCCTCCCACCTGAGTAAATAGTAACTCCACTCTTCCAGTAGCTCAGGTCAAAACCTTGAAGTCATCACTGACATCCCTTTGACACCTTATTATCAATCCAATAAAAATTCATGTCAACTCAGCCTTCAAAATATATCTAGAATCCGACCCTTTCTCTCCATCTCCATGGCCACAACCCTGACTGCTCCATCTCCTGCCTGAATTATTGTTAGTCTTCTACTGGTCTCTCTGCTCCTGCCCTTGTCTCTCATATTCTCAAGTTAGTAGCCAGAGCATTCCATTTAAAATATAGTTGTAATGGGGCCGGTCCCATGGCCGAGTGGTTAAGTTCACGCACTCTGCTTCAGAGGCCCAGGGTTTTACCAGTTCGAATCCTGGGTGCAGACATGGCACCGCTCATCAAGCCATGCTGAGGCGGCATCCCACATGCCATAACTAGAAGGGCCCACAACTAAAAATACACAACTATGTAGTGGGGGGCTTTGGGAGAAAAAGGAAAAATAAAATCTTTTAAAAAGTAAAAAGTAAAAATTAATTAATTTAATATAGTTGTATCGTGTTAGTCCCCTGCTCAAAACTTTCCAATGCTTCCCATCTCACACTGGGCAAAAGTCCCACTATGGCCTACAAGGTCGTATCTGCCATTCGTCTGGTCCCATCACATCACCTTTGTGACCCTCTCTCCAATTGCTTTCCCCTTCACTGTGCTTCACCCTGTGGCCTCTCGCTTTCCCTTGCATACTCCCGAGATGCTGCTGCCTGAGGCCTTTCCTCTGCTAGGAGTTCTCTTCCCCCAGGTAGCTGCAAGGGCCAACTGCTCACCTCCTGCGGGGCCCTATTCAAACGTCACCTTGCTATTTAAAATTCCACCTCCTTATCCCCATTCCCTCACACTCTCCTTATTTCTTTCTCTGCTTTATTTTTATCCAAAGTACTTATCACCATCTGGCATACTTTATATTTTATTCAGTGTAAGTTCCATGAGGACAAAAACTTCAGTCTGTTTCTTTTGTTTGTTTGTTTGCTTGTTTTCCACTGCTGTACCCTCAGTACCTAGAACAGTACCTGGCACAGAACAGATAATCAATAAATACTTATTGAACGAATGAATAATGAATAGTGGTTTCAAATTACTAAATCTAGAATATCTTTCTAACATTCTAGACACTGTAAAGGGACAGAGCAATGGTCCTTCTACATGTTAGCCCTACAAATCCTCCTCACCTTTCTCCTCCATTCCTTTGGGATCCCTGTCGACAGTCGGGCAACCGCCTTGAGGGCATCATACCACTACGAACAAAAAAGAAATACTGGCAAAGTGATAATATTGACCTGGATAAGCACTTTTCAACCTTTTTCCCATCTTGACATCCATGGAGTATGATAAAATTTGTACAGCACACTGGGGCAAACAGGCAGAGCTTCTTTCAGCTGGATATGACTGCTCTGAGGACTATGACTGCCCCAAGCCTCCTACCACCTTAGGTTCCCTTAACACAGCTGTGACGAATTTGCAACACACACACAATAGCTGGGAAGCTCTGGTTCAGAAACCAAAACATGCATTATGGATTCAGAATAAAAGACATAAGGTTTTTTACAATTTTTTCACACTTACACCATTAATAGAAAGTACAAAATTCTTCATTGCAAGCATAAACCCAGGCCACTTGTAGCTTCGTAAGTTAATTAGTCTCTAATTTCAAAAACTTGATCATCTTCTTATGCATATCAAAGTATATGCTAATCTTCCCACTTTGAGAATATATCTCAACGTACCCTGTAGATACCCCAAAATAAGCATTTTCAAAACCAACAATAAAGTTACCTGCTGAAAACCATTCTGACCTAAAGATGGCTCAAGAGTGAACTTCAACTTTGTGTCAACTCCTAAAAGAAAAATATATAAATAACTGTTATGTTGGGAGAAAATAACAAGTTATATCAAAAATAAAAGTAAAAATTAACCTGATCCTACTGAATCATCATAAAAATTTTAAAACACTTACTTTTACTAAGTTTAGTCAATTTTGTTAAAAGAAAAAGTAAGAATATTGATTATTAAAATAGAAAAATATACTGTGGCAATAGAATGGAGCTTATCACATAAGCTGGTGGTTTCCACAGCTGTCGGGAGCAGGGCAAAAGAGAAACCAAACAATGACACCACAGGCTCGGAGTCATACTCCACTCCACTCTGGTCCCTGAAGTCAAACCAGTTACATAACTTGCCTCCATCTCCATTCTTTATCTTTAAAATGAGGATAATAATGTCTGCCTCAGTAGACTGTTGTGAAGATTAACCGTAAATCACCCAGCACCATATAGTTAATATTTATAAAACTTAGAAAGAGAATTCTCTACTTACAGAATTTGTTTTCTAGGACATTCGCATGAACTAAGTCTATTAAGGAAACTTCAGTGGAACATTAAAAGTTATAAAAATAATGTCGTTGCCTTCCTACTTATGGAATAATCCATTTTAACAATCCTACTGGGAGATTTTCATATACTTTAAAATTCTGTCATGATATACTTATTGAAGACAAAACAGTTTGTATGTTTAATTATAGACTACAAGCTAAGAATATAACTAAACTTTAATTCCAAGTTATCTACAACTTTAAATAAACTTCTTTGACTCAAATCCCAAATCTATGGAACAGAAGTAAATAAATAGGAAAATATGTAAAGACTAAATGCTTATAATATATAAAGACTATATGCTATATTCATTCATGCTGGATTTTTATTCAGAATTTCATATTAGAAGTATGTGCTGTTGTTACTGAAGTGAAATTACATGACAATTTTTACTCCCACTTAAAGTCTATTAAAAAGTAATATAATAAAATTTGAAAATGCTGTATATTCTCTTTCTACAATTTCAAAATCAATGAAATGATATCTTAAGTCACTTTTTACGAGACATGACTTAAAAATTCAAGGACCAAGATATAAACAACATTATCAATAGCACTCAGTTTTACAACTTAACATTGTCATTTGTGACGATATTTTTGCTTCTAAGATGTGGACTGCAGATTAGGCATACTGAAAACTTCTCCACAACTTCCGCTTAGAGGCTGGTACATGGATAACAACAATTCTTCAGAATTTGCAAAATTATAATAATAAAGTAACTTGTCTCTTTAAAAACATATATATGGAGCCAAGAAGCTGGACAGAGATGTGTCTGATTGGCCCAAGCCCATGACAGTATGCAGATGCCCTTCTTGGAGTCCTGGAAGAGTAGTGTGAATACGTGAGTTGGGTCCTAGATTTCTAAAGTCAAGCTGTGGTAGAGAATTCCAGGCTTCCAACCTATGCCCTGATAGTTCTTTTCAAAGCTTCAGGGCCAAAACCATACTCTGCCTGATCCATAAGATTTTGTTCTCCGAAGGTATATGAAGTCCGCCCACGGATTCTCATCTCTCTGAGATGGCTTAAGCGAAGCCCTGCCTGGTGCATTGCAACCACACAATGGCCCGAAGAGTGTGTGTGAGGTTGCTGTCCAGACGCAGGGTGCTGAACGGAGGAGCGTATAGTCATGACGTTTGCTTTATTTTAACAAAGACCAGGAAATTCCGTCCCGCGCCGAATTATTCTTTCCGACTTAAAAGCCCCCAGATTCCCTGTGTATATGACCGAATAGGCTCCCTTGAGTTTTTCAGAGCACCTGCTGGGCGTCATGCCGATTGCTTGGCTGGGCTAACACCCGGCTGGGGCTAGTTAGTCAAAACCACAACTATTTTCTCACGATCAAAAATGAGTCATAGGATTTAACTGGAATTGATCATTTGCCGCCTGCATGCAAAAGCTGAAATCAGGTCATTTTCACCTCTTCTATTCTAACTGAGTAAGTGAGGGGGAAAGGTTTATGTTTCATCTGATAATCACAGCTGTTCTAGATTCAGAAATACAAAACACTTTTAACGTGGGAAGATTTTTTTTTAAGGGTACAGGAAGACGGTGAATAAATACTAGTCTCTGCAACTAGACACTTCCTTGGGGAGAAAAACAAAGAAACCACGAGGTTCGGAAAGGCATCGGCGCGTTCCACCCCTTGGGGATCAGTGCCTGGGCAGACTCTCCCTTGCAGCCTCAGGATAGCAGGTCCCCGAAGGCGCTGGGAGGCGAGTGTTGGGGGAGGATGAACCCGCCTGGATCCCAGCTGGTGCCACTCCAGGGACAGAGGAGCGCTGAGCACGGGTGCGAGTACAGCCGGCTCCCTCTGCGGCCACCCCTTGCCAAGAAGCTCTATGCCCGCGCCAGGGCTGGTCTCGACAAACCCAGGGGAGGGCTGCCGGGTGGTGGAGCAGACGCCGAGCTCTGCAGCCTGGAGAAGCAGGGATGTGTCAACACGGGCTGACAGCAGAAAGGGCCTAGCCTAGCACGGCCAGGCGCGCTCCCGGACTTTATCTAGAAGAAAGGATCTCTACTTGCAGGAGTGTTTTCTCCCCGCTCCCCACCTGGCCACGCAAATTAGAGGCTCCAGGCGAGCTGACCCCCGGCACTCGCGCCGCAGGGACCCTCAGGGAAATGCACTCGATTTTCTCTTCAGAACCGCTGCCTTCCCCTCCGACCCCGAGCAGAAACCTGTGCCTTTCCCGGCCTCACACACCTCTCTCAAGGTCTGGCTTCTTGCGAGGCCAGAGCACAAACGGTGGCGCGGCCTCTGATGACCCGGACTCCGCCAGCACTTCCCCACCACGCGGAGAAGGCCGAGCGCACAGCTCGCCAGCAACAGCTCCGGCACCAGCAGGGCTGGACCGCGCCAGGCCGCGGGGTGGGGGTCTGCGGGCAGCGGGCGGCAGCGGCCGGTCCTCCACGCCTTGGGAGGCCGCTGCCCCCGCCCAGGCCCGGGTCTGCGCCCTGCCCTCCCGCGCCGACCCAGCCCCGCGTGCGCCAAGCCGCGGTGTCCCGCCCGGGGCGGCCGGCGGGTGCTGCCGGGCCTAGCCCGCGTCCAGCGGAGGCAGAGGCGCGAGCAGCCAGCCCCGGGGGTGGCACGCGACTTCCCAGCGCCCCCCCCCGCAGCCCAGTCCTCACCCGGCTCCAGGGTGCAGAGCAGCCGGGGCGCGGTGCGCGAAATGCAGCTGCGCTTCTTGAGCACATTGCTCAGGATGGTGCCCACGCCGCCGCCGCCGCCGCCGCCCTGCCGCTTCAGGCATCTCCCGCCGCGCCTCAGGGAGCCGGTCAGCTTGTCCTGCCGCATCCGAGAGCCCCAAGCCCCGGCGCGGCCCCGTCCGCCTGGGTCCCCGCCGCCCGGCGGGCGGAGCAGCTGCGCGCGGGGCTCGGCGAGGCGGCTCGGCCGAGGGTCCCTCCGGAGCAGCGGGAGCGCGGCCGGCGCTCGGGGCTGGAGCGGCTCTGCGGGCACCGCGGGAGCGGCCGGGCGCTCGGCGGCCGGCGGGCATCTGCAGTGCGGAGCCTGCACGGCTGAGGCAGGAGAGGGCTCGGGGCGGGGAGGGAGGCGGGCGCCACCGGGCGGGCGCGCGGGAGACGGAGGCGGCGCTCCCACCCCCAATCCCGGCACCACCGTGCGCAGGCGGGCGGCTCCGGCACGGGCTCCCGCGCACCCGCCACCTGCGCACGGGAGCAGAAGCAGCGACAGCGACTGCCGACCTTCTCTCAAGATCTGGGAGGGCTGGAGCGGACACCACAGGGAGCAGGTCTCAGGTGCAGAACACCAGCGAGATGCAAGTGCCCGCCTCCTCCTCTGAGCTGCGGCGGAAGGGACGGTCAACCGGCCGCAGGACGAAGCTGGCAGCGCGGCAGAGAAGCACAAGCTTCATCCCGAATTGTGTTAAACTCTTTCCTGGCAGCTTAGAGCGGCATGGCAAGCATGTGAAAAATAACAGTAATAATAGTGGTGGTTTCTCTTGGAAGAATGGGCGTCAAGAAAAAACTACAGTGCTCCCATCTAAAAACAGTTTTTATAAAAAAGTGTTTCCTCATCTCCCCAGCCAGACTTCAGAACTATTAGCTATCACTACTGTATAAAAAAAAAAAAAAAGTCGTTCTTTAATATTCACCAATGGAATATTAATCATAAAAATGAATGAGGAATGAGGAAGGAAAGGATGTGGGGGGAACATGAAGATATTTGTCACTGCTAACATTTAGAAAGGAACACTGGATGGATAAGCCAAAAACTAATTTTAAAAGTATTTATATGGGAGGGAAGAGGACAGAAGAGGCAGAAATGGAAAACAGACTTCTCTGGAGGCGCCTTACATGGTTTGGCTCTGGAACAACACGTCATATTAATAATACTAACAAATTAAATAGAAAGAAAGCACCAAAAACTGAAAATGAATGAATATAAATAAACCTAACTGAATATCGCATTGATGGCATGAAAACAAGGAAAACTTAATATGTTGTCGGAATACAATATTGTGACTAGACATCAGTGGTGGCATATATTCCAAGAGCAAATAGAGCTGCAAGGAAATCTTAAATTTCATTCAGTAGCATTACTGTTATTAATAATTGTATTTTTTAATTCTTATGTACACTACAGGATAAAGCAAATAGATAATTATGTTAATGTCAAAAGGAACCAAGACGTTTTTAGTGTAACAGAAAATACAGGTGTACAATCAAAGAAATTGTTTTTTTTTAAATCCTGCAATAGTATATTTAAATTATATACTCATCTTTTTTCTTTTCAAAAATACATATATATCCACTGACTAGGTTTAGAAGTAGGGACAACCCAGCAGCAGTTAACACCCCTAGCACCCAGGTTATGGTCTCTAAAAACCATTCCCCGCTAAAAGGAACCAGGGCTCCTTTAAGGTGACATTGATTCCAGATCTGGGCCAGGAAAAGTACTAGATGAGGGGCCAGCCTGGTAGGGTAGTGATTGGGTTCACACGTTCCAGTTC